AAGCTATAAGGATGATGATGGATGACTGCTTTACGTCCAGCGGCAAATTAATATGCATATTCAGGACGAGTGCATGTTTAAAATGCTTTATACTAGACCCACACGCTGAGTTAGATTTTTAACGTGCTAGTTCACAAGGGAACAGTCCACAGGAAAACATGTCACCTTGTCCGTACACATTACCCTGACTCCGAGCCGACCAGTGTTTGCTCTTACTCCTTAATGCCGCGTGGTTAGCGGCGAAACAGCAAATTCCAATTTTAAAGTCTTTGATTTGACCCAAGTCGGGGTTCGAACCCACGACCTCCCGCACTCGAGGCGAACACGCTACCACGAGACCACCGAGGCGGTAGTAAGCTATAAAAGGCCCGGTTGAAAAAAATGTGAAACAAATGAAAAGAGAAAACATATGGCCCTAATGTATAACACAAAACAAACAAAATGAAAAACAACTATGTCAAACAGCAACAAACATTGACCACTGAACAAAAAGTTTTGATTATTACAGTTGATACTAGTAGTTGTTTATGTAATTCCTTTATGCTATTGTAGTCAATAAAAGATCAGTTGGAGCTGGGGCGTCGGCCTACGGAAATAATCCAGAACTATTATTTCCTATGGTAAATGAGACCACAACAATGGCACCCGTCACAGCTGTAACTCCTAACAATAACAACATACAGTCAGCTAGACTGCAGGAACTTTACAAAACATTAGTCTGTTTGAATGTTGGGTCAAGTGCAAAGGGAAACAAACCCGAAAACAAAATAGGTAATTATGAATTTAAATCTTATAATTTTTTGCGCATATATCAGCCATGTGATTCAATCAAATAACAACATAAATCAATACTTTTATAAAATAACAACAGCAACTACGTATCGATATGCATTATTAAGTAGAACCTTTGACGGAACGAACTTCATTATTCGCATTTCATAAAGTCACAGACTGCTGACAAAAGTACTAATTCATGATTTAAAATTTCTCTTTTTCCGAGAAAGTGGATGCTCTTTTGTAAGTCTAGGTTAAATACATTGTATTAGTGATCTTTAAAGCTTATTATTTCTGTTTACAGACTTTGGCAAGACGAACAACCAAGGCCCATCATGTAAGTTATAAATTGCTTTGATTTCATTCGTTTGTCACGTTATATTCTGAATCCGCAAAAATACACATACATGACAGTAGGTCATTTGCGACAGCATGAATTTGAATTTAATTCGAATTACTTCCCTTGCCACCAAGAAGCACTGTCGCCGTGCTATGAAAAGCAATGAATAAAGATTTTTTCAGTTATAAACAATTTCATTTTATAAAACGGGATGGTTAAACATATAATGAAAATAACAATAAATGTATAGAAAAGAAATATTATATGAGCGGTTCAATGTAATGTTTGCTTCTCATTATTGCTCATTATTTACGAAAACCAGTACTATATGTACCAATTGCAGGAACATGAAATGACCGCAATACATTATAAGTTAGAGTCCAGTTCATTTTTCAAAATGATTTTTTGATACCGTGTATGCAGTTTTTTTTCCCTTCTATTAATTAGCGCATGCGCAACCTCTTTTTCTGTCACTCTAACCGAATCACTAAAATTTAAATGAAAATGATTTATTAATAATAAATCATTTCTTAAATGTAATAAATCATTTTACTAGAATTCTTTTAGAGATAAAAACTGACCTTAATAATTTAAATGAAAATGATTTATTAATAATAAATCATTTCTTAAATGTAATAAATCATTTTACTAGAATTCTTTTAGAGATAAAAACTGACCTTAATTATTCGTAAGTTCTGTATTGTGGACGTAGAGCCAAGATATGCTTCTATAAAGAAAAGTGAAGTGGTTTATCAATTTTCGTTTTCTTCTTCAGCGTCACCACATTTAAAGGACTGTTTCTGTGAGTAAACATGTTAAAATAAAATTCTATTTTCTACATTGCTACCATCCAACATATCTTTTTTTATTAACTTTGTAAACAAAATGTAATACAACCGCGTAGGGAGAACCGTCAAACCTGTCTTAATCATCAAAAGGGATTTTCCTCCGAAATTTCAGTTTGATGTTTGTCGAAGTCTTGAATTGTGCTTTCGAACAGCAGAGTTATATTATTGTCTGGATATTTTAATTTTTATGTGAGGAATATTATCTAAGTAGTTTTTCGTCGTTAAAATAGGTATGACCGAATATATCATGTATATAATTTGTGTTTTTTTTTCTTAATTGAAAGTGGATGATCAAAGCTTATCATTTGAAATTCAACTACTTTAGAATTCAGAGCATTTAAAACTTCTTGTTCAAAAATATGGGAATCTTGAATTGTCTTATGACAGATTTTAAAACTTCAATGAAATCATGGTTAATAGTGTCGTAGAAGTTATGTAATTAAATACTTTATGCAAAACTGCAACGGAACAATACAAAGTACAATAAAGATAAAACAAACAAAAACAAAAAAGAATTATTTAAAAAAACCATCAAACATACCAAAAAAAAAAAAAAAAAAAAAAAAAAAACTAATATCAAAACCTTCATCACAAGGAAAACAACAATGAAAACAGGTTTTCTCAAGTTACATTCTAAACATATATTAAAACATGCCATTTTCATCTACGACGTTTTAAAAAGACGCATTTAAAGTTGAAGATGCATGTATTATAGATAATTAGCATTTATTTGAGTGTCACTCAATGAAATAGGTATGTTGACAATCAAAATATAATCACCCCAATTTTTGGTGGGGTTTGTGTTGCTCAGGCTTTAGTTTCTATATTGTGCTTTGTGTACTGTTGTTCGTGCTTTCGTCGTTTTTCGAATTCTGTCATGGCATCGTTAATTTGTTTTCGACTTGTGAGTTTGAATATCACTTTGGTATCATTAGCCTCTGTTCAGTGCATTAGATTTTTTAACTGTGAAGATAGATGGCGCAGTATGTAAACTTCTAAGCATAAATGAACTGGTATCTTTATACCCTGGCTATATTTTATAAAATCTTCTTTTAAATATCATTTGTCAATGGATAGGCTCATTTCTATGACAATTTGAAAGAAAAAAAAAGATACTGACAACAGTTCTTCGTTTCTTCTTTATGTGTTCTAAATAGACACATGTATATTTTTTTTTTCTTCTAAATTTCTTTTCAGTTAACTATAACTGCCACGAGAAAGTTGATTTAGTGTTTCTCTTAGATGCCTCTGGGTCTGTTGGACAAGAAAATTTTGAGAAGGAGAAACAATTTATTATCCAGTCAGCCAATCAATTCAATATTGGGCCTAATGACGCTCAAGTTAGTGTCGTTATGTTTTCTAACCAACCACACAACCAGTTTAACCTGAGCCAGTTCGACAACATTACTTCCATTACAAACGAAATCAATGCTATTCCATATCCGGCGGGAGGTACTTACACTAGTTTAGCTCTTGCATTTGCTGGCGATTATAGTTTCACAGCTGAAGCTGGCAACAGACTAGATGCAGTCGATGTTCTGGTGGTCGTCACAGATGGCAAATCAACTGATCATGCGCAGACTCTTAGAGAAGCAGCAAATTTAAAACAAAGAAACATCGTTATTGTTGGTGTAGGGATAGGAAGCGGGGTTGATACCCAAGAACTCAATGGTATTGCCACAGGTCCTCTATATGTCATGTATGCCAATGACTTCAATGCACTAAGCCATTTTTACAAAGATATTCATGATATTTCATGCATCGTTGGTGAGTAAAGATAGAAATCAAATTTTATCTTATCTGAATACCATTATCATTAAAATTTACCTGAAGACACCTCTTACCCATTTTAACAGTGTTATTTTCAAAGTCAAGCAACTTTCGAAAATAGTTCAAAAAATGCAAAGAATAAATTAAATCAATTAAATAACTAAGAAAAATCATCCCTGATAAATTCTTGCATATTTCAGCTATTTAAGAAATTGATTGATTGATTGATTGTTGCTTTCATAACGTCCAGTGTCAATATTTCATGCATAATTAGGTCGATTTGCGAATAAGGACTATTAAAGCCATGGAATTGTGCGTCATAAGATTATACATTATAAATTGTTATTGTTAGTACAGAGTTTGTTATCGGTAGATTCTACCACTGCATCGAGTGTGATACGATATTTATCCACTCGAGACAGTTAAATATTTAAAATTTAACTGTCGAGAGTGGATAAATATCGTATTACACGAGATTTGGTGGTGGAATCTGTTTCTCTAATGATTTTCAAACAATATGCAGGCAAACTTATTCCGTCTTTTCGAATGATCTTTAAAAAGAAGTGTTCTTTCTATGTGACGTCATCAGGCATGGTCGCCTTTTTTCATGCCGTCACAATAGGACATTCAGAGGAAAGCAAGTAAATTCGACGTCATAATCGGATTTTATCCAATGAAGAACTGAGATCAAACGAACCACACGTTGATTACATTTTTTTTTATACAATGGGTGCAGAAAGGGATAAATTGACGAAGAATTAGAGAAAACAGTATAATATCTTATCAATACTTCGTGATAAATATAAAAAAAAAACCGAAGCTACCACTTTATAAAAGAGAGGGGGAGGATACCAAAGGGATATTGAAACTCGGTAGTCGAAGACAAACTAACATCACCAAGGCAGAAAAAAGGACAAAACGAACTCCACCAAAAACCAGGAGTGATTTCAGGTGCTCCGAAATGGTAAACTGATCCAGCTCCACATGAGGCACCCGTCGTGTTGTACATATATATAACATCGGCGATAAGTCTCATTCGATGATGTCAAATTCGATGGAATATATACGGATTGTGGTTACCACAATTGGAATATCCTAATCTGTGAATTAGATATTTCATAACGGTCAAATTTCGTGCGTCAAAATAAACATACATTAAGACTGTGCATACTCGTCATACTTCATTACACACAATGTAGAATATTTAGTAAGTTTAAATGATGAGATAAATCCTATACAATTATATATTATTATTTCACATTTGTATTTTAGAACCTGTGACAACACCAGAGCCAACGAGACCTGCATTAGGTATTCACGTTATGATATTTTTGTCGTCTCTATATTAGATTAATTTTTGACTTATACGCACTTTTTTATAATTATACCCACGCTTTAAAAAAAGTGGGGGTATACTGTTTTACCTCCGTCCGTCCGTCCCATGAATATTTTTCGTCGCATCTTTCTCAGGAACTACATCATAAGGATTTCTGAAATTTGGTTTCAGGGTTTATATAAATCAGCTATACCGTGTGATGCGTTTTCAGATTCATCACTCAACAACTTCCTGTTTACCAAAAACTTACATATTTTTACACTACTAAAATTATCCATATTTGGGCGGGGGTACCATTAGTGAGCAATAGCTCGCAGTTTCACTTGTTCTGTTTATCTTAATAAAACAATTGTTCATATTACGCTTTTATATTCAACGAGTTCTCTCAGGCGTCCAAATATCAGTAGATCAAATGTGAGTTTTAATTTATCTCCTGTAGGATTAGTAATATGTAGATTAACTGATTGATTGAAGTTTGCTTACCATCTGTTAGCAACTATTCATGAATATTCAGGACTAGAAGCACTTTACAATAGATAAAATAGGTAGGCTACATTGACCGGGACGAAGAGTGGATGAATCTAGACTGCCAAAAGAAAACATTTTACCAAGGAACAGGTCATCCACCCATGAACCCCTTATTCAGAATTCGCAAAAATTTTGTAACGTGCAAAGACAGGGACACAAGGCGTGAGATTGTTGGGCATTGCTTCGTAATGATGTATATACAAAGTAAAACAGGCTCCTACTGTAGAGGAGTCGTAATCTCAGACGGAAAACCTTAAATCAATTTATATATCCCGGTGTATCCTCGGGGTTGTGATAGGTTGCAGTCTGCAAATAGTAGTATACCAACTGAATTGACAGCCTCGTGACATTAAAGTCGTAGTCGTTATTTTTTCACAAAAAAAAAAAAAAACAATTACAGATTATATGTGGTCATTTGAAAATTACACGTGAAGGAAGGACATACAATAGGAAGGCAAAAGAAGAAAAAAAAAACAATAAAAAGGAATCAATAAAACATTACAAAGGAAACTAACGATTTAGCAGCACCACCTTAAAAAAACTCTGGTATTTGAGGGGGTATAAAGCTTATACATTTTTAAACGTATATTACTGATATCCGTATCAACGCAAAAACGGATTTCAAACCAATTCCATCTGACTTTTTGCGATATTACGAATGTACAATTTTTTATATGCCTTAGATAAATATATTGATATAATGAGCAATATTTTCTTTGATAGAAGATGTTTTTTTTTTCATTTCAGATTGTCACGACAAGGCAGATCTCGTTTTTCTGCTGGATGCATCAGGATCAGTTGGAATCAATAATTTCAACAAAGAAAAGAATTTCATCTCCAATTCATTATCTCGATTTGTCATAGGTCCTAACGATACTCAAGTCAGTGTTGTAACGTTTTCTAATCAACCTGTCAGTCAATTCAATTTGAGCGAATACCAAGACCGAGAATCGATAGTAAACGAGACCAATTCAATTGCCTATCAAGCGGGTGGTACTTACACCAGTTCAGCCTTGGCGTTTACTAGAGACTATAGTTTTACAGCAGCATCAGGCGACAGACCAGATGCTAAGAATTTTCTGATTGTTATAACTGATGGAAAGGCAACAGATCCTTCGCAGACATTAGTTGAAGCAGCTAAATTAAAGCAGGACCAAATAGTAATAATTGGGGTAGGAATAGGTAGTGGAGTTGATACAACTGAACTCTCTGCGATTGCAAGTGGCTCACAATATGTTTTGCATGTGGATGATTTCAACTCACTTACCAAATTTTTTGGTGACATTCATCAACTTTCATGCATCGCTCGTAAGTAACCTTTACCAATGACATCTTACAATGGGGTTTACAATTTTACAATAGTTTTGTATATAAGTTTTACAAATGGGGTTTTTAAAGCATGTAAAGTTAAATCGGCAAACCTTTATATTGAATTCAAAGCTTAATGTAAAATGTTATCCAAAACATGGCAATGTCAAAGCAGTTGTAGTCGTTAAAATTTTTTAACGTATGTGCAGTTTTTATTTCAAGGTTTTGTAGCTTAGATCATTTGAACGACACGGTCATTTTGTGGGCTCCTTTATTAATACACAGTCAAAAATGCACCCTAACATCTACGATTATAACGTAATTTCCATCGGAAGAGGAACAAGTGTTCTACTTTGTCAAAAAATAAAACTCAGATTTTAAAACATGAGATATCTGACATGAAATGTAACGTGTGTTTTTTGTAATTGTGTGATTTTAGTATAGCAGTAACTTTTGGAATAACAAAAAAAGAGAATTATGTGTAATTGTTGTAGTTTTTACAGTTGTTTTAGCAATAACACTGTTGTTAAAGAAAATGGTTAAAATTGTTGTAATTTCGTCAACGTTAAACGCTTGTTTTAACAATTTTATGTTTTAAAACAGCACGGTAAATTTGTCTTTGTGTTATTTTCTATCATTTTACTTTCAGATCAAACTACCCCACCTCCAACAACACCAGGTAAAAAGTTTTTGTTTTCTATTCCTTGAAAATGACATCGATGATATAGATCATGCTTACCTTAAATTACTTTAATTCAATTCGAAAAAAACAGCTCCTTGCGTACACTTCTCAAAGTTTTATAGCATTTTAATATTTTTTAAAATATTTTCTGACCAATATAGTTTCTCATATTTTCTTCCTATTACATCATCAATAGTTTAAAGTTAGACTCCGGGATACTCTTTGATGAAAAAAAAAGAAAAAAAAAGAAATAGGTGACTAGTTATGTGACCAAAAAAATCTGAACATCAGATCGAATCACACTATACACATTTAAAAAGAACTATTTTAACTAAACAATACAGCTTTTGCTAAATACCCTTTTTCGCATTCAATCTTTTTTACATACTTATGCGTTTATAATACAAGAATGGCGTTCAAAAGTGTCCAACGATATGCTTTTTATATCGATGTAAGCTTTAACTGATGACGAGTTTCTCTTATTAGTTATCTGATTTGATAAGTGTTGATTTTTTTCTTAATATCACCCCTTTGATTAATCAGGTGTGAATTTCCCAACTACTCAAGAAATTGATTATGTTTACCTGGGTACATTATTCGTCGTGTTTGTTTAAGATAAAATGTCATTTTTCAGTCTTTATCTTAGTGATTGAAAGATCATAGTACTTCATGATGATGACTTTGTAAAAACCATAATAAGTACTAAGCATGAAAATTTATTGTGCAGTAGAAAACTGCTTACTGTTCCAAAACACCTCAGTTCTCATCATTTTGTAGTGGATGTATGTTGCTAAAATTGTAGATTCTCAGCAGTGTTTCAAAAATTGTTTGTAATTTCGTTTTTTTTTTCTTATTCTTTATTTTTTTGTGAAAAAAAAACTTCAAAGAACAAGGACATACCAACCTACGAAAGAAAGGCTTTAAACAACTAATCATTTCGTCGAAAATCAACAAAACAACTATGATATGCAATAAGTGTTTCATCAAGAACGCTAAACGCATATCTTTAAAGAGTGTAATAGATCATGCCATAAAACTTAGTATCCAAAAGATAGAGCTTGCGTTATTCTTACATGGTTTCCTAGAAAGAGTATATCTGTTACAGAAGAAACTATCAAACCAAGGTTTTGAAGCGGTAAAGTTGAAGTAATCATTTTCTTTAATGAGACATTGTCGAATTTGTACTTACATGAGCAACATGATGGGTGTCATATATGGAGCAGGATCTGCTTTCCCTGAAGACGCACCTGAGATAACCCCCATTTTTGGTTGTTTTTTGTGTTGCGCAGTCCTTAGTTTTCTATTCAAAGTTATGTAGACTGTTGTTTGTCTCTGGTCTTTTTCGTTTTTTTATTACTATGGTGTTGTTAGTTTGTCTTCGACTTATGAGTTGGCATATCCTTTTGGTATTTTCCGACTCTTTTTAATGAGAGATTGAAATATTCCAAATGTTTTGAACTCATCTTAAATAAAAAAGGAGCCATAACTGCGTGTCTTATTATGTTATAGAACTGACAACTGGAACCACCCCAGAACCGACAACTGCTGAACCAACTACAATAGGTTCTACTCCAGAACCTACCACTAGCGAACCAACCACATCTGTATGTACGAATTGCTAACTTTCAAATCACTTTATTATCTATATTGAAAAAAAAGAGTTTCCAATAAAACTGGATTTTGTTTTGCATTTTTACTACCAACCCCCTGTAAAAAAACGTTAAAAAAGTATAATATGAAAATTGAACATAAAACTTAAAATTTCTTTGTCGAAAGTAATACTGCTAAACATTCTAACGGATGAAAAATAATAAGAAATTGATAGCCTACTTTTGCGTTCGTAAAAGAAAAACGGTAAGACGTAATACTGCACAAAATGAGTTTTCTTTTGTTCTTTTACAGATTTAGGCACTGGATCTTCATTAACAGGTAAATCCAAAAATACGATTTTAAAATTAAACATATTTTAGATATGTTCCATGAAATAAGGATAAGGTCAGGTGCCTGTAATTCAGTGGTTGTCGTTTGTTGCTGCATATCATATATGTTTTTCGTTCATTGTATTGTACATAAATCAGGCCGTTAGTTTTTTCGTTTGAACTGTTTTACATTTGTCATATCAGGGCCTTTTATTATAGCTGCCAATGCAGTATAGACTTTGCTCATTGTTGAAAGCCGTAAGGTGACCTATAATTGTACACTTCTATGTCATTTGGTCTCTGGTAGAGAGTTGTTTCATTGGCAATCATACCACATCTTCTTATTTCTATATAAGTCAATTCATTCTCTCGTTGATATCATTTTGTACGGAGTTATATCGGTAGTCATAATTTTCAAAAGACGTTTGCTGATTTCAAATATAAGATGGCACCAATCACTCTAGTTTTAATATTTCATGCACTCCCATGCCTAGTTTTAATGATAGTATATTGTTTCATGCATGGATTCAGTGTTATATATTAAATCTATAATATATGTAATACACAACTATGGTGATCAAGACAGAGGTGAAACATTCTGGAAAACTATGACTGTTTCAATTGGTGGTGGGATATTTAAAAGGCAGGTGATAGCATTAGAGATATTATTTCTTTCAACACTTTATTTTGTTTTTGTGTTCTTTTAACACAAATGCACAATCTTAATCTGTATTGTTGACATTTTATAAGTTGCAGTTTACAAATGAATCGCCAGGTGTAATACACGATAGGATGAACATACTTGTAAACATTTGCTCTTTTTATATTAATTCTAATAAGGTGTTTGATGGTCAAAATCATCCTTGGGTTTTGATGGGGTTCGTAATGCTCGATTTTTCGTATTATTTGCAGTATTTTGTAGACTGTTTGTGTTTTCATCGTTTTTCAGTTTGGTAATGGTATTGCCTATTGGTCTTTGACTTATGCCTTTTAAATTTCGGCCTTGTATCAACTTTTTTTTTCTTCAAAATGCCTACTCAAAAGGATAAGTTCTGTATACATGTAGAATCCACGCAAGGCATTTACAAACTTTATTTGACTTCGAATTGCTTATAAGATTCAATGTGTGTCAAGGATGTAGTTAGGTGAAATTAAATAAAAAATTTAGAATTCAAAATTGACACTATAAGTCAGAATAACATTAGTTTAGGAACAAAATACGCTAAAATATTGATAGGTTGTGTAGCTTCTTTTCGAGATATCTAATTTAAAAAAAATGGCGGGGAAAAGACTGACCCGGACTTTTACCTTATTTTGCATTGGTATTATTTGGGTCTCAAATCGAAAGAAAGAAATCTAGAATCTGCTTAAATTTTGGTAAATGACCTCTTATGAGCTATTGAAGTCTTATATGAAAAGAAAAATGGGTGTTAATGGGCAATATATTTGACCCTGTATCGTAGGAAAAAAAACAAGGAGTCCGAACATTTGACACAAATTCCTAAACCTCACCTAAGTACATCCTAAAACATATATGGACACTTACAATCAGCATCAATATGTCCCTTTTTTATATTTTTATAGGTTGTAGATTGCCTTACACTGTCGTGATTCCCTTGATAGATTTTAGGTGTTTCCCCTATAATACCTCAATTCATATTTTTAAAAGTTCCATTTTGTTATTTTCGTCTGTTTTTGCATTAACGGTATAACATATTAATCATATCTTTACTTACAGGAACACCTTGACCGGGACCAGCGATGTAGATGATTTTCATTTTTAGACACTTCAACGACTTCCAATTTCTTTAATACATGTCGTACATCTTTCATTGCATGAGTAATAAATTTATAAATATCTAAATATCTACAGTATATTTATCATTTTTCATAGATTCCTTCAATAGACCTATTATTCTGAAAATTAATAAACAGTATATTCCAAAGGTACAATGTTAACATCAGTTTTTGCTGCTTTTTTGGTTTTGTTCATTTTAAATGTTGACCCCTTAAGACAAAATGAAGTAAGGATATGTAATATGATTGCCAATGAGACAACTATCCACTATGGTCAAAATGATGCAGAGTTTAGCAACGTCAGATTACCGTACGAAAATCAAAAATGAGCAAAATATCTAACGTATTGTCAGCTGTTCTCCATCAACTGATGATTTTCATTGTCGGTTGTTGTTTTATATCTAGAATCCTCCTTGACGAATGATATAATTATAAAGAATTTGTCAGTGAATAGTAAGAACCTAATAACATTTTATAACTATTAAGTTTGCTCTTAAAGAAACTCTTGGAAAAAATACTTTGTATTAACACACGACAGATAGTACGGCGCTTTTCTCTGATTTCATAAATCAACATCTGGATGCATTGAATTGACTGTATTGCATCATGAAGTTGTGTACCTACTGTTTTAAGGAGTTTCTATAGAAAATATGGACCTTGCCATATCAGAACAAATCTAAACGATTTTTCAAAGTACATGTACGCACATTTCAAGCCAAACAATTTGAAATGTTCTGTCTGGTAAACACTTGCAGTACGTGGGTGATTATTTTTACAGTTATCTTCTATTGGTTAAAAAATTAACTTTTATTTTCAAACACTTTGTCTTTTTACACTTACTTGTTAGGGAGCCACTGAGAGGTTACCGTTCAAACTCAACATTTTGAATGTTTGAGACATATATCGGCTTACATAACACGTTGTTTCCCAAACTGGTCCTTAACCATTACCAAAATTGTAAAGAATGCAATGCAGTTGTGCGCACAAAATTGAATGTACCTCCATGTTGTCTCGGTTCATTTCAATTCGAGTGAGGTGCTCAACTGAATGCTAATATTCAGACAAATCATTACAGCAAACCCGAAATATTCATTTTAAAAGGATATTTTGTTACATTACTCCGGTTAAATTTTTTCAAGTTCTGGGAAAAATGCGTCCGTTAGTTGGTCCAAAAATTCCATTAAAATTTTAAACAATTTCAAAAAGTTCTACTCCATTCGTCATCGCAAAACCACAAAACTTAAAAAATTTCCAAATATCAAGTACTATAACTCTTGATCGGTAAAAGTGAAAACGACAAAATTCGGCCTTAAGGTAGTATGGGTATCTTTCGCCATTTTTGATTTTAATTTGCAGAACATAGTAGGTCTGAATTTTTAATTAGCCCAACAAATTGCGATACAGGAATGCAACTCACTTACAAAAATAGTTTGATTTCAAATGTTTTAAACTTTGCATATAAAGGGAGGTTAATCAGAAAAAAGTATGATTTCTAAAAGAATCTTCAGGAATTTTTTTCATTCTATGTTACAGCAGGAACAATTGTACGATGACCTCATTTTTCTTTTGATATTCTGAAAGCATTTCATAAGTCTTATAGTTATCTTCTCATATTTTATATAAACATTTTATCATTAAGTTTACTTTCTTTTCATATTATGATGCTTTTTTTTCTGTAAAATCCACACAAAATGTGTTATTTGTAAAAAAAAACTGTAGCTTAAAAACAAGCTCTGTACCCTATCATTTTGTTTTATTTCTGAGCATACCATAATGTATATTACATTTTGGAAAAGTATGAAAAAAATTCGTTTTTTTTGTTTGTTTAAACTCCCATACCATCTTTACCAATTTTTAGTGGTCTAAAACATTCCAATAAAAATGAAAACAATTTATATAGGAGGGTATCCATTTATTATCCAGAAATCACAAACTTTAAAATCTCTCAAACAATCTAGTATCATAACTTAAGAATAGTAAAAGTAAAAACGACACAAAATCGACACATTATTCTGACTCCGAGCCTAATTCCTTAATGCCGCGTGCTTAGCGAAGAAGCAGTACATTTTAAAGTCTTTGGTTTGACCAGGCGGGGTTCGAACCCACGACTCCCCCCCATTTGAGGCGAACACGGTACCACGAGACCACAGAGTCGGTTACACACACCCATTCAAAAACGTCACAATAGTTTAGTTTACAGGTTATACAACTATTGTCGTAACAAAACTTTTTCGATCATGAGAAATTGTTGAATGAGTCATAGACATGTCGTATCTGTCAACTATTTCGTGTAGGTATCCATTATACTATTATAGTGTCGATTTTAGCCGTTTTTTCTAATAACTCTGTTGAAGCAATTCTTATATTAGGGGCACACCCCTGTTAATGAAATCCGTATATTGTGAAATGCACAAGTGTAATGTATTAGTTCGTATATGTTTATCCCATACGACGGAGAAGAGGGTACATGTAGGTTAATGCCGAGAAATAGGAAGCTGACTGCATATGTGATATTATAAATTATGATCAAATTAGTAAATTGTGTGAAACGTTTATAACATGCCATTGGTATAAAAGTGACCTTTATGACCTTGAGTAAGAAACAAACTCATCAAGGATACCGGGCTTATAATTTTGTGTCGTCTACAAAAAACTTATTGAGTGTTCTTGCGTTTTGTACTGTATTCCTGTCACGTAATGTTGTCATTTTTGCGGTATTTTAAACATTGCCATATAAGCGGGAGGTTTGGCTAGCCATTAAACCAGGTTCAAACCACCATTTTTTCTTAAAATGTCCTGTACCAAGTCAGGAATATGGCAGTTGTTATTAAATAATCCGTTTCTATGTATGTTGGCGTTTGTTTTTGTTGCAGTTAAATGTTTCTGTTGTTCCGTTGTTTTCCTCTTATAGTTGATGTGTTTCCCTCGGTTTTATTTTGTAACCCGGATTTGTTTTCGCTTAATCGATTAAGAGAAATAAGTGCAGTTATTAAAATGCAGATCTGCACCGCGGTTATTACTGTTTCCTTTATTTATTTGTGACACTTCAATAAATAAAGTGAAAAGGCCAAATGAAAAAGTCAAAATTCCAAACGATTTTGCGAAATATAGTAAAGGTAAATTAGAAAAAACATTTAAGTTAATCAAAAATGTAAAATAATCATGAAAAGATTGAAATATTTTTCTCAGTTTACCACTTCTGGGACCAAATAATGTAATGTCATGAACTTCCTTCTTTTACGTTGTTGAAAAACATAGCTTCTTTTTTTATCTATTTATTTGTTTGTCTGTCTCTGTGTTTTCTGCTTCTTTTAATTCTAAACCATGAATTGTTTTGCTCCAAATGATTAAAGGTGATAAGGTACGAAGTAAAAGAAAGTATCTGTTACTTTCCAAATATTCGTGCGCTAGTACATTTGGTTAATTTGTTTACTTTTGATGTCAAATGTGCTTGTCTGAACTGCACTAAGAAATTTTGGATTGCACTAATTCCCATTTGCAAAAACGTCAATACGTACGCGGTTTGTGAGTTGTGTACGAATTCGAGCCATTTCTAAAACGAAGAACACACAGTATAAATTTCTGCACAAGTAGTTCCAATACGTCACTTATCTATCACCTTGGACTTCATAGATAAATTTGAATTGCAGAGATCTTCACTTACATAATCAGACATGGAGAAAACGTTTCGTTCTTTATTGCTGTTAGCTACAGTTCTTTCTTACGGAACATGTAAATCAGGTAAATTCTTTGGCACTAGACTTATATTGTGGATACTGCAGATGATTTTCAGTTTATTGAATATTGGTCCACATTTATTTGGCTATCACGTGTTACCGTATGGAATGAAATGTTCCCAAGATTTTCAAATTATTCGATAACTTTCATATATATTTTGATGCTAATGTTTGCTTACATTAGTTTGAAAAGTCGATCAGTAGATACATACCATTCAAATTGTATTTGATTTAACAAACAACGTTAAATCCTAAATCAACAAAAATCAATGGCCTGAAATTTATCAACTGAGAAGACAATATTTTAAAAGACTTCTTTTGTGGACCAACATTTGTATAATGCAATTTTATTGCACTTAGATGCTTTACTATAACCAATACAACTGATTAATCATCTTTTAAGTTGAATGGTAACATGTGTTTGATAGATTTAAGAAGATGTGGTATGAGTGCTATTGAAACAACTTTCCATCCAAGTCACAATTTGTAAAAGTAAACCATTATAGGTCAAAGTACGGCCTTCAAAACGGAGTCTTGGCTCACACCGAACAGCAAGCCATCAAGGGTTCACATATCTGTCATTAACTTCATGATCATTCCTAATTCTAAATTGATCATCCCTAATTCTAAATTGATGATATATAACTGTTTATCGATATTACTACAATGCACTTTGCGCCTACTATATGGCAACACCCGCTGCATTTAAAATTCTAGGCTATTGATAAGTTCCTGTTTTTCAAATGTCCGAATGCACAAATACATGTCAAGGTTAAATTGATAAAAAAATCATATCACCTAGACCATATACCAACTGATCCTTCATCTGGTGTCCGTTGCAAGTGATAAAAACTTGTCTAATAAAAAACGGAACAACCGAAACTTCTCTAAACATGTTGATGAAGAATCTTTCATTGTGTTGCAAAAACCAATCGCACCCATCCGAAGTGTTTTGCAATATTATGATATAACGTATAAAGTAATGCATGCAAAGTGATCTGCGATATATTTTAACGTGCCTCATGATTGGCAAACTGTTTATATTGTTTTAAGCTTCTAATCCAAATTGTCAGGAATATTATAAAGTTTTGTTAGATTTCCTTATCCGTTACACTCTGTAAAAAGTAAAATAACAAAAATACCCAGCTTCAAGGAAAATTCAAAACGAAAAGTCCTCTATCAAATGGCAAAAAAATGTAGAAAATGGTGAATTAAACCTGGTTTTATAGTTTGTAATATTGCAAATTTTGGAGTACATTACTTTACACCGAAGACATTGAATAGTTGATACTGTAACAATATAAAGTGTTGTTCCAATGAAGACAAAAATACAAAAAACAAAAAAACACTAACATAGTTAACGTTCTTAATGATTTAGAACTTTCGTTATTTTCATGTCCATTAGCCAGCTAAACAAAATAAAATTATAATTTTATCAGTTATTGAAAAAAATGTAGCATAGCTTTGCATAGTACGTTTAGCAACCAAATAAGGCAGAAAGAAACTTTGTTAGATACTGAATGAGTTGCTTCTTGCTTACGATTTGGATTACACTATTTTGTTGGTGGTTTCAATTCACAAATACATTTAAATGTTTTTTTTTATGAAATTCTGTTTGATAATTGTGGCTGACCTATTTTGTATTTTGTCGTTCGCTTGCTCTCTAAATGACGTGTATCCCACGTTTCCATTTGTTGATCTATATTTTTTGTTAATGTCTTAAAAGTTGCAAACCTAAAAAATCTATTCAATTTAAACATGACTAATGGAAAGGAATGTTACATGTATATGACAATCTCTTTTGGTCAGCTCAGTTGTCTATACAAGCAATTCCTGTGCTCCAAACAATACATTTGATGTTGTTTAAATTCCATAACCTTAAAATAGTTGATGTAACAAAGGACTGGACACTGAGTTGTTTGGTTTGTTCTACACTGACATTCGTCATTGTAAGTATTGGCTTAGTATATATTTCCTGACACCAGTTTTAATATTTTACCCATTTAACTCTCATCAAACAACCAGTTTTTGGTTCTACCTTAATTTGACCTTAATGCAATGGGTCATCCAAATCTAATGTCAGTGCCTATCTTAAAGGTCACCACTTTCTGACATGTTTAAATATGCGAGGTACTGTTATAGATTCAAAATTATATCTTATCTGTATAATCAAACAGTGGTAAATACCACGCAGACAAGCTTATAGTCTTATCTTTAAGCACTCAATTCTCTGAGACAGTCGATGATAATGGTTGTCGTGAAGGTCAAAATATGATACAATTGAACCACATTGTTCCTAGTTTATTATTATTACAGATGATATCGGATATGTTCCTTATGTCGTAACTACAATACCCTTCCCTTTTCACGAATGTGACTTACCGAATTAGACTATTTACCGGATTTGTAAATATAAGCAACACGACGGGTGCCACATGTGGAGCAGGATCTGCTTACCCTTCCGGAGCACCTGAGATCACCCCAGTTTTTGGTGGGGTTCGTGTTGCTTAGTCTTTAGTTTTCTATGTTGTGTCATCTGTACTATTATTTGTCTGTTTGTCTTTTTATTTTTGGCCATGGCGTTGTCAGTTTGTTTTCGATCTATGAGTTTGACTGTCCCTCTGGTATCTTTCGTCCCTCTTTTATTACCAAATTATTACCAAATTTTCTCTCTGTTTTGTTCGTCATGTTTTCTTTGTCGGTTAGACTGTTAAAACAGCCTCGCCTATATAGCGACCTTTAAACGTTATTATGAAACAACATAGGTGACAACCAATCAATCGGGCTCACAAGTATTGCATTGTCACATTTCTTCAAAATAAATAAAAAGAAGCAGTGTTTGTTGTGAATCTATTTTGACCATCTTGTACAGCTTCTGTCATATAAATCATTCCATCCAAAGACATTCAATTCTAGAATCGGGTTAGCAGAAAATTTTGATAGCAAATCGAAAATGTTTATTAGTAAACGAAAGTTGCGAAAAATCACTTACCTTGGAAACGTATTACCAAATAAATTACTAGTATACGAATACTAAGAGTACATTGGAAACTTGAGGTATGCAAAGTAGTTTAGTTTCCTTGCTGCTGACATATATATGCATACGAGGGGAGGACTGCCAAATTGTTTTAAAAATGTAACATCAGTTTTCTTTACAAGGGCAAAATCTAAATATAATAAAATATAATTAATTTCAAAATGAATCTATAGTGTAAATTCTATATTTAATAGACCGAGTCTTTCTTAAGATTCCTTAAAATTAAGAATATAATAGTACTAATCATTATACTAGATTTATTTGGACATAATTTTGGTTAAATTTCATAATTTCATAGAATATTCTCCATCCGTTCAAGAAATCAAAATTTTCGTTATCGCACAGAGCATGTTATGTATACCTACTACAAATATGCGTCTTGCTCAGTGACAAAACTTGTCATTCGTTTATAAATGCCTGTACCAAGTCCATTTGTTTGATGTGTTTGAACTTTAGATTTTGCCATTTCATTAGGGACTTTCCTTTTTGAATTTTCCTCGGAGTTCAGTATTTTTGTGATTTTACTTTTTATCAAATCATTATAATTAAGTGACTAAAATCTTAAACTCTAAAGGAGGGTCTGATATTTAGTTTTATTGATGCTTTTAAAAAATCATAAAAAATACAAGGCCTGTTATTGGTTGGGAGGGTAGAATTGCTTAATTGTTTAATAAATTCACGCATTCCTATGAAGCGAAATAAAAACAAACTTTGTTACAAATATTAGAAATTAAGAGCATGTTATGTATTGTTTTCACTATATTTCAGTTAATCCTAGAAATACTGGGATTGGATCTGGGGCCTCTGCTGGTGAGAAGATACAGGAGTTGTTCCCTCCAGAAACTGATACCACTACATCAGCACCAACAGATCCTCCAAAGAAAAACAATGTAGACCCAGAAAGATTGGCAGAATTGTATAAAGCACTTGGATGTCTAAATGTAGGATCAAGTGCAACAGGAATTAATGATAACAGTATTAACTATATTGGTAAAATTCTTGTTACTTAGAGATTTAGAATATATGGTCTAGTGATTTACGAGTTATTTCCCTTTATCTAAGAGTTACCCATGAGTACATAAACAAGGTTGAAATTATCTAATTTTTCAGCAAAGTCCTTTTTTGATAAAAAAAAATGTTCATACATTAAGAGAAGTTTATAAGTAGAAGATTTAAGTGCTATGGCTCCTTTTTAACATTTGTATTTTCCCTGGTTACATTTCACGGATTATGTTTTATGTTACCTGATAAAACCGTAAACATTAATTGTTTCAATGTCTAATTAATGTAGAAAGATGACGTTTTGTTAGATAATGGATAATTTAGCCGCATAATTACAGAAAATATATAATTTTGTTGTTTTAATTTGATAGTTCGAATAATATATAAGAATAAAAAAAAATGTAATAGCTAAAAAGTTATTTCCTACCAAACTAAGAACTTGGGAATGAAATATGTTATTATGAAAAACGATAGATTGTTGATATACTTACATTCTTCTCATATTGCTTAATACTCCACACCCCAAATATAAAGTTTGGGGTTACAAAGGAATGACCATGTCCGAAAACGTAAATCGGAGTACAATGTTTAGTCAGTGTAAAGCAGAACTATTGATGTAATATAATTGTTTTGTCATTTTACGTCACAATTGATCTATTTGACTCTTTTGAAATATCAGTTTTGTTTAATAGAAATATATGTAACATCCTTAACCAGTTATAGATCTTACTTCAATAACTTTGTTTAAAACATCTTGTCACAAAATATATTCCTGGTTAGGCTGTTTCCGATATTCAAGTATTAAAAGATAGATATAAGAATGTAGCACTTTGTGCAGACGTATCGTGCAGGCAAACAGTTTGAAGATCTTAAGGATGTACTTAGGTGAAATTTAAAAAATCTAGAATCTAGAATTAATACTATCAGTCAGAAGAACATTAGTTAAGGAACACAATAAGCTAAAAATATTGATGGGTTATGGAACACCTTTTTGAGATATCTGATTTTTAATAAAATGGCGTGAAAAGACTGACTTTGACTTTTACCTTATATTAAGCATTGACATTATTTGACTCTCAATCGTAATAAAACAATCTAGAATCTGCTTAAATTTGGGTAATGATCTTTTTATGAGATATTGAAGTATCTCATGAAAAGAAAAGTGGGTGATATGGGGCAAAATATTTTATCCTGCATCGTAGGGAAAAACCCAAGGAGTCCGAATACCTGACAACAATTCCTAAACTTGACATGACTACATCCTTAAGCAAATATGTTCGACAGTATTTTCAGTTTATATCATCCCTATTATTAGACTGTAAAATGTTTTTGAACGTCTACATGGTGTTTTAATACATTTATAATATTTTGTGATTTGCTGATTTTAGGAACAAAATAAGTGTCCTAAACATATCGCTTTCTTTTCAGACTAATTCTGAAAAGTGCGTGTGATATTTCTCAATTGACTTAGAGTAAAGTGAAATAAATCGGTATTTGACACTGTGGAAAATACATTAAACAAAGGACACATAACACTTGATTACTGGTATATGTACAAATTATGATGTTGTTTGCTAACCCTCTATTTTAATTTTTAGAATTTGAAAATCAAAGTCCGGCGTCACAAGGTATGCTTTCTTTTAAGTTTTAACACTACTCGTAACCCTCTTAAAGGGGCACTAGCTACGAGATATAAAATAAATTATAAAATATGATTTTTTTTGTTCAATCATTAATGAAAGTTGAATAGTGAAATAATAATTCGCTTATTTATCGCAGCCAGTATTGTCTAATTTTGTCAAAATAAGCAAATAATAATGGATGATGAATTATTCACTTGCAAGTGAATAGTTCGACCTCATTGATTCCGTATTCATGTGAACTTCAATTTAACCCCTTAGATAGAGTTGGATAATTGTGTGCATGTTTGATTATTTAAAGGAAAAGAATGTCAACATTGAGAGTAAACAAAGGTTATTCATTTAATTAACTGATTCGATCCTCAAAAAAATCATTCTTATACAGGCAAAAATGATGATTAACATATATGCTTAATCTATAAATGAAATTAAATAGACCTAGAAGAATCCAATTGCACGAGTTGCGCTATCTATTTATATCTTTATTTATGTTTATATCCCTTATATGGGCATCGGTGGTTTTCGTGAGGTCAACTCGACAGTTAATTAGATGGCGTCTAGACTAAAATACACACAAAACGAAGTTACATATTATCTTTATTTATTTTAGATTTTTTATAATTTGGATAAATGTTTTACATTGTTATAAAACAAATATGAGAATTTGAGTCAAATCGGTGAACAAGAATTTGTAAGCTAGTGCCCCATTAAATAATTAATGACTCAGTTTTTTATTGTTTTGTACTCAGCTGATAATAGGTAAGTTGTAAGTGCGTCATTAGATCAAAGGCAAACGAGGCAAGTTATGATAAAAATGACAAAAACTAATGTCTTATCTTATGCTAAGTCAGTCTGTTTTTTTCTTAGCAGAGAACATAATGATAATTTGTCTATCTAAACAGCAGTTATAACTAAGACACCATTATGATATGAAAACAAATATAATATCAAAGGAACAATTTGAATAAAGAATGAAAGAAGGTCAAACAACGATTTTTACTTGTGGAAAAGAATCAACACAAAAGACCAACAACAGTCCACCAAGGACTATACGAACAACTTAACATTATGCCAGAAATTCTGAACGACAAACTTTTCCAAAAAATTAAGATAAATATATTGTAAATTATTTAAATGTCTATTTTAATTTCAGGAAAACAACATAGATTGAATTGTTCAGGTTAGTAAGAAATCAATTTCGTAATATTTCACAACGAATGGATTTTGTTTTTCATGTACAATTCCAGTTCGTTAATTTATTTTAACGACCGAAAATAATTTTCTGAAGATTTTAAGCATCAATGCATATTGTGTAATTGTACTCAAATTTTCAAAACAAACGGATAATTTAAGAATGAACTAGTTTATTTTAACTACCAATTTGCAGGTACACAACAAGATAAAGCAGTCTCTCTTTCAGTTTTATCATTTTGTATCAAATAAAAATAGAGATAGTTGTTTAATATGTCTATTGTGATAAGCATTTGCTTCTAGTTTCAGATATATGTTTGCCTATGGTCAACATTTCCTATACATGAACACACTCTATTCGCTCTTTATTTTCCATTACACAACTTATAATAATCTAATGATAGGTATATTGAAACAATCTTCGAAATGTTGCTAAATGTTAAATGCTAATGAAGCGTGTGTGTCTACTACATACAACAAAGTAGAAACAGTAATTACATGCTATAACTCTCGGGTAGGTGAATATGTCCATGTGCCTGTATCTTTCTTCATTCAATTTACATTTGTTTTTACTTTTTGTATTTTTTAAATTTGATCAGTTTAGCTCGATTATTTACAATATGTCTTATTTAACATTTGCATATTTTTTTCTTTTCAGTTCTTTTACCAGGTAAGATCAATTTTGATAAACACGCATCGAATTTTAACTTAAGAGTTTCTGTTCACTTTTGAAAAAATGTGTCAAAGATAACAATGGGCAAATCAAAAACCATTTGTCGAAGAAAAAACATATATCAGTAGACAAAATAACGGAATGACAAACAAATGTCCACAGACCACTACACAGAGAACTAAAAATAAACGTACAAGACAAACTCAACCAAATAAAACCAAAGGTATATTCAACTAGTAGCCTTTGTCGTGTTGATCATGGACACAAATATTTGGTGAAAAAGGGACAAGATTTTGGAAATGACAAGTGGAGCATATACATGGTATGCTGTGACACAGGTGTTTTCTTAAGATCACTCAAATCATGATGGTGAATGAAATCTTTTTCTTAATTATCTTTAGGTACATTTCCCAGAAAACAAAATATATCTAGAAATTTCCAATAAAATAAAGAAGTAACAATTAAATGTACACTAGCCTCTCATTTGTATAGCATATACATATTTAATGAAACGCAACAGTTGCAAAATTATTTCATGCGATTTTTAAACTCCTTATATTTTTCATTAACAGCCTGCCATGACAGGGTAGATTTAGTTTTCCTATTAGATGCCTCAGGGTCAGTAGAACTGGCTAATTTCAACAAGGAAAAAGATTTTATTGCTCAGTCTATATCACGATTTGTTATTAGCCCAAAGGATGCGCAGGTTAGTGTTGTTACGTTCTCTAACCAACCTGCCAATGCATTCAACTTGAACCAATACCAGAACAAAGCTTCAATAGTGTCTGGAGTTAATCAAATACCTTACGTAGCCGGAGGAACATATACAAGCTCAGCGTTAGCCTACGTCAGAGAAAACAGTTTTACTCCAGGAGCAGGGGACAGACCAAATGCACGCAATGTTCTTGTTGTGATGACGGACGGAAAATCAACTGATCCCATGCAGACTGTTCTCGAAGCGGCAAAACTGAAACAATCAAATATTACAACAATTGCACTAGGGATAGGAAGTGGGGTTGATCAACAGGAGCTCAACACTATTGCTTCATCATCAGCATATGTTTTGAACGTTAACGACTTTGATGCCCTTAGACTTGTGTATGGTGCTATTCATGAAATAAGTTGCATCATCGGTGAGAAACTTAATATATTTTGTCCACGAATTATAAAATATGAAATAGTATGTTGAAACATGGTGAAAATTTTAAATAATCTTTATAGTTTGATTTAAAATTCTGATTGTTTTAGTAATTGTCGTCAATCGAATATGCATTGCTTTGTTATAGTTAACAGAAGGGTTTATGATAAATGGGACAAGATTGCACAAAATTACATTTCCTCGATTCTGTCATTTATTGAACACATTCTGTCAAATAAACACAAGTAAATGAATATAATCTGGTCATTTTTGCGCAAAGGAGATGACACGTTGACGTCAAAAACAGATCGGCATCAGAAAAATTGACTAAACATTTTATTTCAAATATATATAAAAAGATAAAGCAAACAAGATATTTTTATTGCATAACTAGCTCAACTCAGAAGAGAACATTTTGTTGAAAAAATGTGAATCCTACGAAGAAAAAAAAAACGTAATTCATAACATAAACATTTATTACCACACAATAAAACACACGTGTAAAATCAGCGATACTGAGTATGAAAAACGTTTTTTTATTTACATATTAAGTAAATCAGATTCGTTTCACTGAGGCCAAACATTTTTTTTTACTTGCGCTCAAACAAATATTTTACGGACAAACAACTTGGAGGCAAAGATGTACATTTAATTAAGGATGTACTTAGGTGAAATTCAAAGAATCAAGAATTTAAAATTGATACTTTAAGTTGGAAGAGCATTAGTTAAGGAACAAAATAAGCTAAAAATATTGATAGGTCATGGAGCTCCTTTTCGAGATATTTTATTTTTAAAATATGGCGGGAAAAGACTGACTCGGACTTTTGCCTTATATTTGTATTGGTGTTATTAGAGTCTCAAATCAAAAGAATAAAAATCAAGAATCTGCTTAAATTTTGGCAAATGACCTTTTATGGGCTATTAAGTATTGTATGAAAAGATAAATGGGTGTTATGGGGCAAAATATTTTACATTGTATCGTATGGAAAAAAAACAAGGAGTCCGAAAATCTGATACAAATTCCAAAACCTCACCTAAGTACATCCTTAAATTAAGATAGTTGTAAAAATTATGCATAAACAATCCTATCTTAAGAAAGTTCGCTACTCAGTTTTAAAATAACAAGCTTTTCATAACTCTAGTTTATATTGATAGCGGATTAATAAAGGAACAAAAAGAGCAAAAATAAAATATAGGTCAATGTGCTTGTTTTCGAGATATTAGCCATTGAAATTTTGGCGGGAAAATATCCTCTCTTGATTTTCCATAGCTTTATCATTAACAAGTTAAAGTTCTCAAAAACTATTACAAAATAATTAAAATTTTATAAGACTTTTACAGATGGCTTATAATGATGCATATAAAAGATTTCTAAAAAGAAAAATGGGGGTCAATGGGCAAAATTTTTTAAGGCATTCAAATAGATAAAACCAGAGGATTCCGAAAATCTGACAAAAAATCCAAAACATGAAAAGCGAACTTCCTTAATGCATATGTGTATTTTGTATTACGCATTTTTTACTCATGTTTTCAAGTTCATCACGCGGAAGCGCACGATCAACGCTTTTACAACCCTATAAAATTACTAAAAGGAGCATTCAATACTTATAATTACATTTTTTTGCTAGGATCATGAAAACACGATTACTATCAAGTTTTTCTTTTATCTACATGTGCACTTTATTGTGGAAGCTCGTGTCAACATGAAACTTACATTTCATTTTAAGATGAAGATTAATTTCAGAATGACGCGAGATTGCTGTTAGCCAATCAAAATAACGTATTATAATGAAACATACATGTCATGTAAATATAAAGATTTGTAGAACATACTGTGTTATATGCAACCTGGAAACAACTATGCAAAAAGTTATATCTTAATAGGTTAAGATTCAATTCATTTCATTTGGTGATCTTTTTTTTCCTTATTGTAGATCAAACTACAACTCCAATTCCAACGACAACTCCTATTCCAACTACAACACAAGGTAAAATAACCATATTTATCATATACGTAGTAGTAGATACATACAGATAAATTGTATGTGTAATACGATCAATGGCAATCGTGCTGTATCAGCCAGGGTTGGCAAAAACCCGGGTTTTGTGAGTATTGCCCAGCCCAGTGGGAAATACTGGGAAAACCCGGATTTTACTGGGTTTTACCGGGTAATACTGGGCAATACTGGGTAATATAAAATACTGGCCTGAATTTCAAAAAGGATTCAGTGATTAATCACAAATGCAATACATTGAAGTCGAAGAATTCAATTTTTTTTTTTTATATATAACTAATATTAAGAATTAACAATTCTATGTAAGGAAAATTACTTTTAAACATTTTTTGTTCATTACTAAAAATGCTTACTAAGTTTTGGCATATGTTTATGTACAGTACATCACTAATTAATAAGTAATTATTCAGATTATTATACAGATTTGTTTATATAACAATAATCAGCCGTGTGATTTCTATAAATGTTCATGGCCTGTCCCCTTAGGGTGTTTATTTAGCAATTTGATTGTATAACAATTAAAATGTACAAATCACTTAAACACTGCAATACATGTAAAATGCATTTCTTCAACATGGATTTAGTATTGAAACAAAGCTTGCGAATTTACACGGTATCCTGAAATGTCCAAAACTTGTATTCTGCCTACATAGATTTAGTGGAGAAAAGGAAGAAATTGAATTTTCAATCATCAGGAATGACTCTCAATGGTTATCTATATAAAATGTATATATTTATCTATAATACTATTAAACTACAAGTCTTTAATATTTTGTGTAAAAATAAGCTTGAAAAATCATAATACCCAGTATTGCCCAGTATTACCCGTTTCTAGGAGTATTGCCCAGCCCGGAAAAACCCGGGTTTTTCCACCCGGGTTTTCCCGCCCGGGTAATACTTTGCCAACCCTGGTATCAGCCATCCGTGATGATATCGATATCAGTCACGTTTGCAAAGCCTTTATCACACCTCTCATCTGTATGACGTAACGTCATCTATATCAGTCTGGTTGCAAAGGCTTTATTAAACCCCTAATCTGTATTACGCCATGTCACGTGAAAAACATCTTCTAGAGGTATATAATAAAGTGTATATAATAGGCTTTTTTAATATCACACACCGTATCAACCCCCAAACAATATAATCCCTCGAGCAGAGCTCTTGGGGTTAAATTGGTGTCTCGGGTTGATAGGGATGTGATATTAAAAAGGCCATATGATATTCACTATATATTTTATTTTCATGACTATTACTTGTTAATTATTCAATGTAAGTAAATTGTTGGTAGATATATAAAACTGGTGTACAAATTGTACGAAAAAAAGCCAAGCCGATGTGTCATTGAAAGTTTAGTTCTTTATTTTAAATCGCTGTCAAAATTACCGTTCGATCAAAACACAAACAGGATACAAGAAGACGATATCTATCTACACACCTGTAATTTTTACGATAGTTGTTGTATAGCAAGATAAATAAAAATAATTATTGACAAGTAATCATTTCCATCATTATAGTGTTCAATCTGTCGTATTACATACATGAGAATCTGTACAACAACACTTGTCCTGTTAAAATATGTTGACAAGTGCTAGATTAAATTCAACTTACGAATCAATCATTCGGATAGAGATGTATCAATTAACATACAAAAACTCCAATTATATTTCAAGAGTATTTTGTCACAAATGATAAATAAAAATCCTAATTGAGGCTGACTCGGACTTTTACCTTATATTTGCATTGGCATTATTTGGGTCTCAAATCGAAAGAAAAGAAATCTAGATTCTGCTTAAACTTTGGTAAATGATAATTTATGAGCTATTGAAGTCTTATATGAAAAGAAAAATAGGTGTTATGGGGCAAAATATTTTACCCTGTATCGTAGGAAAAAAAACAAGGAGTCCGAACATTTGACAAAAATTCCTAAACCTCACCTAAGTACGTCCTTAAATTCGAGTTATGTCAGTTCATTGTTACGTGAAAATATCGCTCGTACATTTGGTATTTGTTTTAATGAATAAATTCATTTTGGAATAGCAGCTCAATGATTAGTAGAAAATGATTGTGCTCCTATATGTGCAATGCAATACTTTTCCACTCAAAATATCACTTAGTCTTTGAGAATCTGTACAACAACTAGCTCTCACATTAAATGTTGAGCTCTTCTCTAACGAATATTTATCCGCAACAGTGTTTCTTAAGCATTTATTAAGTTATTCAATTTTATTTGAAAAGTTTTTGTTGTGTCTTATCTTTGCAAAATGTTGACATACGGAAACAATTTAAATCGTTGTTTTAATAAGTTTGTTATCCATAATCACCGCAATTATCAACTAATTCTTAAATAATGATTATGTTTTATCTAAAGCAATAAAATTGAAATATCACACATGTATTACCAGATTTGTCCGGTGCTGAGATTAAATCAAAGAAGTGTTAATCGCATGAAAAGATATTTTCACAATTTCTACAGCATTCGGATTATATTTTATAGTTTAATATAACCAAATCCTAATTTACTGTAAATTCACAAAACTACAGTGGCACCCGTATAGTAAAAAATGAATGCCATACCGACAAGTGAATAAGTGTGCCAATTGCAATAATGAATAAACTAACAGTTGAAGGGATAATCAGATCACACTAATCACAACCACTCAAATCTTCAAACAAAAATACACGTACAAACAAAGAACACATTGTCGACGAAGTAGCTCGACTTAGTGTTATAAGAAATATCAAAAGTTACTCATAATTATTTCTTAGCATACCTAAATGAAATATAGGCGTGAATAGATGTTACATTGCATTTTGTTTTTAACCAAAAGCAATTTTGAAACATATATTTTGAAAGTAAGTATGTATTTTAGAGCCTAAGACACAGGAACCAGGAACAAAAGAACCAACCACACAGGAGCCAACTACTAAAGAGCCAGCTACACCCCAACCAACACCTGTAGGTTTGTATCATCGGTCATAATTACCCTGTAGAATTTGTTTCCCTGGTATTCGGAACATAAATTTTTTGCAGGGTGCTTGTTCTTTTTTGCAGTCTTTTTGTTTTAGCTCCTTGAAATGAAAGGACATGTTTACGGAAAAACACAAGTTTTACAAACTTGGCATTAGGTGCTCCTATATGTGCAATGCAATACTTTTCCACTCAAAATATCACTTAGTCTTTGAGAATCTGTACAACAACTAGCTCTCACATTAAATGTTGAGCTCTTCTCTAACGAATATTCCATCATATAAATTACATTTTCAGTGTGCCGTGACAAGGCAGATCTTGTTTATCTCCTAGACTCATCAGGTTCAGTTGGAATTGGTAATTTTAAGAAAGAGCAAAACTTTATTTCACAGTCCTTGTCCCGGTTTGTTATAGGACCAAATGACACACAAGTCAGTGTTGCAATGTTTTCAAATGAACCAGTAAGTGCTTTTAACCTGAGCGATTACCAAGACAAATCTTCTATTGTTACTGCAGTTAATAACATGACCTATATAGCAGGGGGTACTTATACCAGTTCAGCTCTTGCATTTATCAGAGATATCAGCTTCTCACCCGAGGCTGGCGGTCGGCCAGACGCACGTAATGTCTTAGTTGTAATAACTGATGGAAGATCAACTGATCCTGCACAAACTATCAAGGAGGCTAACTCCCTACATAAGACGAATATATCTGTCATAGCAGTAGGCATTGGAAGCGGAGTGGACAAGAATGAGCTCAATGTAATTGCAACTGATCCACAATACGTTTTAAATGTTGATGATTTCAATGCATTGAAAAGGATTTATGGTTCAGTTCACGCACTGGCATGTAAAATTATTAATAATGGTAAGTAGCAAATTCAGTATAACGTTGATAAATTCATGTATAATTTATTTTTGCTTCTGTCTGTCAGCGCTTTCTTAAGTTTAACATGTTTTATGGGGTGTATATATCACCTAATCATTGACAAGTAAAGAAAATTCCGTTGTGTCACTTTTAGATACTAAATACATGTATAGGTATACAAAAATGCATTGTCTGTTGAATTGTATTGTTATCCCTATTACTGTCACAGGTGAGAAAACAAACTGTAGCAACATAATTTGAACAAGTTCGTTTTAAGTTGTTTTTTTTTTTCTTTTTTTTTTAAATAACATATTAAGCAATTACGTCGATATTGATACAAAAAAACGACTGAAATTAGAACCTTATCTTAATACAATATAAGTTAATATTTAAGGTAAAGCATCAAATAATACTGTCGAGTGACTTTTTGTTTTAACATGATGAGGATAACTTTCCCTCCTATAATAAATTCCTTGTTAAACGAGCAAAAATGATGAAATAGGGAGTCGAATTTCTTTCCTTAATAATAAAAGTCTATATCTATGTTTTTCTCATCAAAATAAAAAGTTTAATTTAACAAGGCAACAATAATAATCAGATATGAAAACAAGTAATAACCTAATATATATGATGATTATAACAAGATGTTGACATACTTTGTTTTGTATTCTTATATGACGTTCTTCTCTCGCTTTGGAAACAAAGCCATGTTCTAATTCCAAAAAAAAACATGGGGTGCACGTGATTGACGTCACAATTGCAATTGCAACGTGAGCTGTGTTTTAACAACGTCGAAAATCAAATTGAACAATTATTTTGGTGTTGCTCTCTAGAAAATTAAATAAAATCATTCTAAAGTAAGTTTGCATGTATCTGTCCATTTGTTTATTGTGAAACGGTTGATTTTCTAAAAAGTTTTGGCTTCAGCAAATCAAAATGGATGACTTTTGACCGAGTATTGTAGGTCCGCTTCGAAGTACAACAATTCCAAATTTTCCTACTAGAATCGAAATAATTCTATCATGCTATGGTCTATGCTATTTTAACATGAGTAGGCATTATATTTGTCAACATTTTACACCTTGTTGACGCTCGGTATAAAGATACTGACAAATATAATGCCTACTCATGTAAAAATGAGCATAGATCATGGCATGAAAGAACTATTTCTTAATTCATGATATTTCTACTCCGTATGGACTGTCTCTATATCTCCATTTTTGTGTAATTACTTCGTACGATGTTTTTTGTATCTTCCTTCAACCCATTATTTTGTATAAATGTATTATGGTCATTACATTGAGGCAAAACTATAACTTTAACTTCAGTTTCTGGTGCCGGAACAGGATCTTCTGTTGGTATGTACTAAATGTTTAAACTAATATTCCAGCAGGCAAAGCTGGTTTTCATATGATATATAAATGCAAAAGAGTATAACTTTAACACGCTAATGATAGTTATGAAAATAGTTGTTATACTTTATATATTCACGCAATATTTCGCTAAACAAATTAGCTTCATCAGGCGCGTGCACCCATCTAGGTAAAAATCGGATGCTGTTAAGGAATTTTTGCAGCTTATCGTACATGTCCTTTAAATATATTTTTGCAGCTTATTGTACATTGCAATTATTAAATCAAAACTAATAATTGTGTAAATTAAATAGTATGAAGTTCAGGATTTATTCGTTTGGTTTTTGATAAAACTGTTTTTCATCTCTCTCATTTAGTCCATCAGGTTTGAGAGTACGTAGCTGATGCATCCAAAATCTCTCACTCTCTCTCTCTCTCTGATTTTCACTATGATTGTCCCAATTGTGGTTGACCTCTATTATTTGAAAGGTGATATTTTCAAAAGTATGTCCTGTTCTTAAAGAGTTGTCTCGTGATTAGGCAGTTTCTTGCTTTGGCATAAAATGACCGGTGATTATTAAGTCTGAGGAAGAGTCATTTTCAATAAGACGCAACTGCTTGCGGACGGTAGATAAAAAAATGTCAAATCTGGATGGATAACAAACGGATTCTATATGTGCGGGTCGTCCCATCTTTGTATTTCATGAGGATCTTTCGATCTTTTTCTTGGACTTTACTGAAAGCGTCTGTGATATTTTTGTTTTCGTATCTTCTTGATTTATGTTCTTCTCTGATTTGTCCCAAACGGTAGTTGAGTTTGGATTTCGAGGAGCAAATTCGCTATAGTCTGATGGCTTGACTGTAAGGAATGCTCCTAGAGCAGTGTTTCGCATGACAATTTTCGGAGAGAGAAACTGATGTTTGTCAGTTTTCTTTGTGTAAAGATCAGTTGTCATGACCCCGTTTTTTACAAATGTGGTGGTTTCGAGAAACGTAATTTTCTCGCTTGAAAATTCAGATGTTAATTTAATTGAATGATGGAACCTATTACAATGATCTAAGAAATCTTGTAGACGTTCTGCAGTATCGTTCCATTTCGTGTCAATATCATCAATAAAATGGAGCCAAGACAAGGGTCTGTATGACACGCTCAAAAGAATATATATTTGACGGTTATCGTCTGGACTTCTATAATCTGGCTATTAAGTCAAAAATTATTAGTATTAATTTGACTTATGAGAATGAGTAAATAACAGTCACATCGAATGATAAGATTAAGCAATATCAAAATACCGTATTGGAGGAATGTCAAGTTTAATACACAAAACATATTTAACGAGCCTGAACATTAATTTCTAAATAAGTAAGCTGGCTACAAAATTCGTTTGATTCCTACCATCTCTATTACCAGAACGTTGTTTTACATGTAATACAATCTGATGTGTGTACTCGTTTTATGGTCAAGCTATTGAATTTTTGCATTATTTACTTAACAATTTCAATGTGGATCTTTGAAATTGAGAAAGCATCTCTGTATTCTAATGAACATTATTCAATCATACAGGAACATGACGATTGTATCGCTTATCTCAATTATCGTAGTCGAGATATGAGGGTGTGGATGGGGTTAACAGAATAGAGAATAATGGGCAAAAAATTAAAAAAAAGAGAAAAATGGACCAAAAAAAAAAAGAATAAAGAATAATGAGGTGCTAAAATATGAAGAAAAGAGAATAATGGGAAAAAATATAAAGTATAGAGAAAAATGGCCTAAAAATTAAAGAATAGAGAAATTAAGGATCCCCACCCAGACCCTCAGATAGTTATTATATCCATTCCTTTGGTCATGGTAGTGACATATATTTTATGCTCAACAAACGCACCAATGAGGAAAAATAACTTAGCATAAAACCACATAGTTTGACGGAATGATATCGATTAGAATCTAGCGTATTGTATAGCTGCTATATTTCGGATATTAACTAGTTGTTCGTAATCCCCATTTAAAAAACAAATACCCGGTACTCTCTTATTCTAACATTCTCTGTCTATGGGTATCATAAAGTAATATTATCACTACATATTGTTTGTTTGTTCTTTCTAAATTTAGCTGAACAATGCTGAAATATATGCCACGTTTGGTATGGTACAGTCTTAATGTTTCTTTTTATGCACTAAATACAACCGTCAATGTAGTATTTGTTTTGTGATTGTGATTGATAAAAAAGAAATGTTTTGTATACATCTGAATTATGCATTATAAACGGGCAATTAAAGGTACTCTTGTAAACATTTTTTTTTTCATTTTTTTGTGTATGTTCTTCGATCATTACTTTGTTTTTTTCTTTAGGCAAAGTTACAACTGCTAAACCTGGAGGCGGTAGTACAACTTCTTCAAGCGGCGGTGCAACTTCTGGTAAATTTAAACTACAGTAATTAATCAGTAAAGTATAACCATAAACTACAATGATTCGTTGGTCAATGAAAATGTCTTGTGTTTCACTCAACTCACACGTCTGCTGTATGCAGTGACGCCCACAGAACCCCTGTATTATGTCTCGAGGCTTTCATTGCTGGCGTGTTGTTGTTTAAAAACAGAAGAAAAGTTCATGAAGGCATATAAAATGGTTTAACAAGCCAAATTAGATGTTTACTATTATATTTCAGTCTTCTGTGTGGGTATTCAATAAAGCGAGAAGATCTTGCACCCGGAGGCGGGCTTCAGCTGGCCCCTTAACAAAAATGTGTACTAGTTCAGTGAAAATTCGTAAGGGTTCCGCGGAACCCAGTGTCTCGCCTACTATTGCTGTTAATCGCAGGCTCAACAAAAATGAGGAAAAAAATTGATAAAAATATTCCTCTCTATACTATCTTTTGGTTGTAAGTGGCTTCTGTCCAAGTTTGGTAAACATGCAGGATAGTTTATGAATCTAATAAATGTTTTAAAAACTTAAACTGCAGACTGTATGTAATATTAACTGAATGAAAAAACTAAATCCATTTATAAGTAAAATACGGAAAAAATGGAACAAAATTTTAACAAAATTTCCTTCTAGATACTAGCTTTTAATCATAAACAAGCTTCTGTCCAAGTTTGGTACAAATCCAGGATAGTTTAAGAAAGTTGTTAAAATTTTAAAAACTTTAACCACAGAGTGAATGTAATGTTAACTGGCAGAAAAGCTAAGTCCATTTATAAGTAAAATACGGAAAAAATGAATTTTTTTTTTTTACAAAATTTACTTCTGGATACTATCTTATGATCATAAACAAAATTCTGTCCAAGTTTGGTAGAAATCTAGGATAGTTTAAGAAAGTTATTAAAATTTCATAAACTTTCACCACAGAGTGAATGTAATGTTTCCTGGCAGAAAAAGTCCATTTATAAGTAAAATACGGAAAAAATGGAATATTTTTTTACAAAATTTACTTCTGGATACTATCTTATGATCATAAACAAGCTTCTTTCAAAGTTTGGTAGAAATCCAGGATAGTTTAAGAAAGTTATTAAAATTTCAAAAACTTTAACCACAGAGTGAATGTAATATTTCCTGGCAGAAAAACTAAGTCCATTTATAAGTAAAATACAGAATAAAATGGAACTTTTTTGTTACAAAATTTACTTTAGAATATTATCTTATGATCAAACAACTATGTACGAATCTATTAAACGAGATCAGCACACAAAACAAAGTACCGTTCTGAATCGCAAAGAATTTCTCCAAAATATCAACTTGACAATCCAAATTTGTTATTTTACTTATCATCTTTGATATCATAGTTTAAATAGTATTTAACTATATACCAAAGTATTAGTTGGTGTTGTTGACGTGTTGACACGTGTCTGCTTATATTCATATGAAAAAATATCATTGTAGGTGTCTCTGGTGGTGTTTCTTCCGGAACTGGTACTGGAATTGGTGGTGGTGAGTATCAGCACTATGAGTGTTTTAATTATTTTGTTTTTACTTTCCCAGAATAGAGTACACTACAAATCCTGTCTAATCGGAATAGATTTTCTTATCTGTATTTGGCATTATGTTTAGGGATGTTGGGTCCTCAGTGTTCTTCATCTTAGTATCTTAATTGATCTTTTAACTTTTTTTATTCTAGCTTCACTCATGAGTCTTTTGTAGACGAAACGCGAATCTTAATAATAACAATTTTTTTTTATTCGTAAGCAATACAACTTATAGAATATGAATATTACAAATATTCAATTACATCATTGAAATATATAGATAATACATTTAAACAATCAGTCAAATAAAAAAAACTCATTTAAGTATACCCATATAACAGTACATCTAGAGTATAGCGTTTATCAGTCCTCTCCTTATTCATATGAGTTATTGCCCTTAAATGATGGTGGTTATTTTTGCCGGTTTGTTGCACTTTTTGTCTAATATCTTGAAAAGAATAATATATAGATCACAACTTTGAATAACCTAATCGTAGATACAAGGATTAATATTGTGTACGCAAGACACAGATTTGTCTGCAAAAGACTCATAAGTGATGCTCAAACCAAAAAAAGTGTAAAAGGCGACACATCCCCTGTAGAACGCCTTTTTCTAGGGTTTTTTTGGGGGTTTTTTTTTTGGTTTTTTTTTGGGGGGGAGGGTCTATACGTACTTTTGAATCTATGTTACATTTTCCATATTTTGTATGTCATTCAAATGGCGGAAGTACAGCAGATAAATTTTATTTAATATTAAAAATTAAGAGCACCACGACGGTCTGTTGGTTTTTTGCGACTTTCGGATTTTGATTCTCTGCTTTGTATCTTCTCCACTATTTATCATTACTTTAAATATTTTTTAAAGTTTTTTCAAACCTATATGGTTCTGGTGAAATGAATTGTGGTGTTGAATATATTTTTTATTCTTTTAAATAAACCAAAATTGGAAATGTGGTTTGGGGGTTAAAAAAGGGTCAATCAATAACAATAAGTAGTAGACAAATATACAATACAATTAACAAAGGAAAACATGAACATTGAGCAACAAGATCCCCCTCCCCCACCCCTCCCCCCCCCCCCCCCCCCCCCCCGAAAAAAAGAAAAGAAAAAGCAGTCAATTGCTCTGAAAAGGTTAGCAATTATATCTGTTCCACAAGTGACACCAACCGTTTTACACATGTAATATCATGTGATTACATATTAACGATAGTAGATTGGTAAATGTCTTTTGTCTATCCTTAAGGTATCGATAAATTCATCAACGATTGATAAATGTAGACTCTCTAACCCTAAAACTTGACAGAATATTAATGTTTGAAAAGCACAAGGGATAGATACAGTACCCATAAGAGACAATACAGATATTGAAAAATAAAATAGCTCGGAATTAAAATCTGAAAAACATGGCAAAGCAACACGAAGAACCCCTTTTAAAAGGGAGTGAACTTATGTTGTCAAGGCAAAGCAGTTCCTGCTCCAGCAGTGGCAACCGTCTTGTTGTCCATTGCAAGAAAATAAATTAGCGATAGGTCTCATTTAATTGTGTCGCAATTCAGGTAAAAAGGGTGGTATTGGTTTACGAACAATGATAAGTTATAGAATTATATTTTCATGAAAACGTACGACGATAAAAACCTCAACAAAACAGATATATGCAATATGCTCAAAATCATTCTCAGTGAACAAAACATGTGAATAAAGTTAACAGATACATGTACAATCTAAAGATCTGTTCTAATAGGTCGATATAAAATTCCATGGATGACTAACAAACACAAAAACAAACATTGTGATGCAACCATTAAATTGCATTCATACGCAGATTTTGATAATAAATATACATATACTACACTGCTACTTTTGCATAGGTACTATTTCTGTACTTAAAATCTGTAGTACTGGAAATTTACTTTTAATATTTAGTACAATTTCTTAACTTTAAAATTATTGTAATATTTAGGTACCTGTATTTTACAGTACTTAATTTGTACTTAAAGTTTTGGTACAGAAATAATACCAACAATATTCCATGTTTGAAAATCATAACTTTAAGAGATTTGAAATAGACAAACTTTCAAAATGCAGAAAATGTAACGGTGTAACCAAAAACTTGTAGTACTTAAATTTCAAGTACAAATCAAGTACTGTAAAATGCAGGTACTTAAATATTACAATAATTGTAAAGTAACAACATAGCACTGAATATTAAAAGAAGATTTCCAGTACTGCATATTTTTAGTACAATAATAGTACCTATGCAAAAGTAGCTGTGTAGTATGTGAGCTCAGTGTATACAAATCTATATTTAGATTGGAAAGTTTTTATTCTATTTCAGGTCCCGCGCGCGTCTCTCGAGCGGATTGTGACGTCACGAGGCTTGTTGATAATATCGAAAACTTAGCAAATTTCTTTCTTTTTAGGTGGAGATGTTGGACAGACAATTACTGTACTCATTTGATTAATACTGATTTCGTACAATTTAAAATGATATTGTTTAAAAATTATATTTTACTTTTCAGTTGGTGGATCTACTAGCAATCCGGTAACTGCCACATCTGGAGGTAAAACTCCTCTTCCCCAAGCTGGTAAATCCTTTTGCTTAGCTATTTTGTGTTATAAAATGCATACTGCATACATTGCATTTGTAATGTCTTTCATAGTACTATATAAACATAATTCGTACTACACTTATGTATATGAGTGAGTTATATATGCTCACCGGATTAACTTTGCAGATGATATCTTTACCATTTAAAGATTGCAGGAAGGTAATATTTCATCGTGCTTTTATAAGCTTTGGTCTCAGTTAAGCTTTTATTGCAAATGGCTTCGTCAATTCATGAAATTGATATCATAGTAACAAAGACAAATGGTAAATAGTTGTCTCTTTATTTATTTTTGCTTTTATTCCTCCAAAATGCTTCATATTGGTGTGCTTTGCAATGGGGACATACGCCTCATGGAAAAAACCTGCTTTTTTGAGAGAAAAAAATCCATACATGAGAGTCTATATTGTGGTTCGCCGAATTGAGAATAATGGGTGAAAATATTAAAAAACAAAAGTATAAAGATAAGAGAATGGGTAAAAAATTAAATACAGAACAAAAAATTAACGAATACAGAAATTGGACCCCCATCCAGACCTCCTTTATACATTTTTGTTCATGATTAACAAAAACTTTTCATGGATAACAGAAAGAAGTAATTTTGCTTTGAAAAACCGTGTTGGTTATCATTTTTTTTTTTATCGTTGCGATTTATATTATAATATAAACTTCATCCAAGTGCATCACTATTTTTAAGACAATTTGACTGTTAAATAAATATTCAATTGTTTTAATGTCTTATTTCTTACCTGTTATTTTTTTTAGGATTAACACCTGACACATTAACACCAGACAATTTTACAGATTACAATCATACGGGTATGTAAAAAGTAGACAAAAATACCGAACTCAAATTCAAATTCAAATCGAAATGTCCTACTAGTATATCAAATGGCAAAATCAAAAGCTCAAACACATCAAACGAATGGAAATCAACTGGCATATTCCTGAATGTCATTTGAAAAAAGTGGACATCATTTTAAGCAGAAGAAAGCTAGATGTACGGTATCAAACAAAATTAACGAAATTCTTTTATTAAAACACTAACAACAAAGTTTCTAAAGAGCTATAAAAATTAAAGGACTGACAAGAAGAAGAAACTACAAAAACTAAAACAAAACTACAAAAAACGCAATCCACAAAATCCACTCCACAGAAATCTATCGATTGAGCAACGATAACCCCATTCAAAAACGAAGGGAATAAAGGGGTTCTGAAATAAAGCATTTAGTTATATGACCACCTGACTATTATCGTCTTGCTGATAAATCCATTTATAGAGAACGCTGTACTGACTGCACGAGTTTATAAATACGCAGCCACTTCCGGTCGAAATTGGAACCTTTTTTTAGTACTATCAATGTATTCTGTATGCTTCCCTCTAGTGTTTTTTTGTTTATATGTGTCATTGGGTGGCTGTCTTATTGAATTAAACCCACGTCTCTTTGTATTCATTTTTATATAGACACACGATACTTTAGTCTGGTAAAACATGTTTTGTTTATTTGTTCCAATTGGCATTGAACTAGCTTTTAGTAACTGCGATTTTCTTAGAATGATACTTTGCGGTGTTATTTCTTAACTGATGTTTACAGTTTGTTGTGGTAGTTGTCTCATTGGCAATCATTATCAAATCACTTCTTTTTGTCTTTATGAAAGACCAATTGCACCTCGAATATTATGAATTTCTCTAAATTTTGTATTATGCTTCCAGTGTGGTCTTTGAGTATGATATACTGAATTCATGTTTTTGTCTGACACTCTTTCGTTATCAACATTGATTTATTGTCTAAAAAGAGAAAAACATAGTCAATCAAATAGTAAAGTACTAATCTAAAAGGACTTCGCATTTCTGAAGTGCAAAATACAGATTGGCAAACATGCGGGCAAAACGCATAAACTCTAAATGCTTTGAATAGATATACACACATATTGAACAAAACTCATTTCCCAAAACTTTTCATAGCTGGTTATTATTTTGGATTTGTGATTATGCACTTGCAGGGCAATGGCATCATGTTAACCCGATAACAGATCATGTTTATTTGGCCCAGAGTAAACATGAACCTTAAACGTAACAAACGACCATACCACCTCATAACTTTCAAAAGACCACATGGACCAAAGAAATATGCCCATCAGGACTGCTCTCGTCTTGTAGTCAAATCCTCGCAGGGAAACATCCGGTTGTCTTGCAGGGTCTGTAAATACGCTCAAACGTCAAGTTTGAATTCGAACATTAAATCCCATACCCAAAGTAGATAGAAAGCGTTCCTTGTCATATAAATGTGAAATAACCTTTGCAATAACTTGTTAAGTTGTCTGTATGTAACATGTTGCCATGCAAAATTTCTGCCTGTATCCACCATACTCTATTTTTCACTTTTTCGTTCCAATTTTCCAGATTTTATCTCCGTCCATTAACTTTGCAGTACCTACCAATCGGATTTATTGTTAATCTTTTAATACTCCTCATGAATATGCATGAAATATTTATCATCCAAAGAAAGACAAACGATCAAAAATCAAAAGACCATATTATATTTCATGTAAACATGCATAATAAGAAAAAATAAATATGGGGAGGCTTCAGATCTATAAAAAAAACCAAAGTTAAAACCCCACCACAGTTTCATGTTCCTGAACCTTACTTGAGGTTGTCTTATGTCATATTCTAGTGCTTTTGTATTGTTTTTTGTCGATAATTTGGTTTTGACGACAGATCTTTGATTTAATTTTATCACAACTTTTACAAATTTCCCTCTAACTTTTAAAATCACAGTTTTGACAGACTCGGAATCATCCTGAGAATGGCATATTGTATAAGCACCCGTTTCTTGTTCAATACTGAATGCTGCCCCCGCTCGAAGTGTTTTTTTTTTTATTATCTTATTTGTTGGGTTGCTGTCTTATTGAAATACAACCTACTTCTAGATTTATTCATGGGATTACTTTATCAAACCCTGTTTCCGTGTTTCAGACTGTAGAGATTTAATCAACTGTCGCCCGTATCCGGCAGAAAGGATTTGCCCTGACAATAGTAGTTACCACCCTTGGGCAAGTGTTAGATGCCGGGCATATTGTGGTTTTTGTGTTGGTAAGTTATCAGTATATAAATTAGAAATAGAAATATCACAACAGTGGAGTGGCATATTAAACAAAACAGGGAAAGAAAAACCGACAAAACACGAGCAACGAATTTGGTTGACGGTCAACAAAACAAACTCCTTAGCGATTTTAATGGAAGGCATAGTGCTTTGTTTATGTATGAATGTACTATCCTTGCAAAGTTTTTGGCTCAAAAGAATTCATGATAAAGGTTACAATTAAGCGTATTGCTTGAGGAAGTTCGCTACTCAGTTTCAAAATAAATAGCTTTTCATAACAATAGTATATATTGATAGGGGATTAATAAAGGAACAAAAAGAGCGAAAAAAAATATAGGTCCGTGTGCTTGTTTTCGAGACATTAGCCATTGAAATTTTGGCGGGAAAATGTTCTCTCTTGATTTTTCATAGCTTTATCATTGACAAGTTTAAGTTTTCAAACACTATTAAAAAGTAACAAATATTTTATAAGACTTTTACAGATGGCTTATAGTTATACATGTAAAAGATTTATAAAAAGAAAAATGGGGTTAGTGGGCACATGTTTTTACAGCACTCAAATGGATAAAACCAGAGGATTCCGAAAATCTGACAAAAATTCCAAAACATGACAAGCGAACATTCTTAATTAGAGAGACTTGTATGAAGGAGGATAAACATCAATTCCATTATTTATAGTTTGAAACAAGACTCCTTTGTTTATTGTACTTGTCTGTGTCGAAAATTGAACAATTTTATTCTGAGCATTTTAAAAAATCATAATATATACAGATGTTCAACTTGATAATATAATATAAGACGGCGTGATTGAACAAAGTAGTATATACTTTGATCTTGCTTTCAGTAACAGCGAACATGATTTTATTCGGGTTCCTTTTTTATTATTGTCTATCTTAACTGTGTATGTTTTTTTTTTATTATCTATTATCGGTTTTCTAGAGATAATAGCTTATCATGTGCTGATTTTTATTGTAAGTTTCTTTTCGCCTGTCTTCAGTCAAATCTACTTTTATTTCTCAAGAATAAAATCGTAAGATAAAAAAAATACATGTTGTTAAAGGATCAAGTAATATAATAATAAAAAAAAAGAGCACCCTGAAAGGATAACTATTTATGCAAAATATCCAAATGTATTATAATAAGGACTTGATATATATTTCAGTCAATACACCACCACCACCATGTGTAGACAAAATATCTAACTGTAATGAGTATGATGCAGATCTCTGCACAAACCCACTTTACAGACTCTTTAGAGAGGATAATTGCGAACTGTTTTGTGGACTTTGCACAACAGCAGGTAATACCATAATAATCATAGTTTTACTCCTTTTAGGGCAAACTAATTATTCTACTATTATTATGGATGACAACGCGCACTTAAGTATTCCTCGAAAAGTCAGAGTATCAAATATTTATGTGAAAATATGATTTCTTCTTTTAATAAGTTTTGTGTATTTTCATTCAAGTATATATTAAATGGTTAAATTAGAATAATTCAGAAAAATTAATGTCAAATTATTCAAAATATTACCGATTTTTTGCACAATAATACATGTTCATTCCTTATGTTTAAATTTAATGACCAATATCATGCGAATGCAAGTCCTTTGCAAAGTTCGCCGTTTCAGAAACTAAAGGACTATGGGTAATTGCATTGTTCGTACTATAAAATGGAAATAGTGTCACATCATTGATTGAATTTCTATTGTTAATGACGATTGTCAGCCAATAACAACGTGGTCTAGTACGCTTTTGAAAATATTCCAGGAATCAAAAGTGTGACATATAAAAATCTACAAACACAAATACTGATTTTTGTATGTGTAAAAATAACTCATCAAAGATCCCAGGTTCATAATTATGTATGCCAGACACGCGTTTCGTCTACAAAGGACTCATCAGTGACGCTCAAATAAAAAAAGCTAAAAAAAAAAAAAAAGCACGAATTGAAAAGCATTACAGACAAAACATTCCGAAAGATAGCTTTTGTTTTATTTCTCTTAAATACATAAATGTGAATAAATTTGATAGCTTTGTTATGTTTTTCTTCTTCTGTTTTTATAGATTCAAGTGCAAATAAACCACCAGGACCAAATAAACGAGACTATGAAGAGGAGGAAAACTTTTTTCTTTGATGGTTACCATACATTTAGCTAATAGTAAATAAAGAATGAGAATCAACAAAATATTGTCTGAATACAAGCCATATCACATACTTTTCTAAATATATTCTCGGTCGGACATTTTGTCAAACTTTTACCATGTTGAAAGGTTACTAATTGCCTATATAGTATTGAATACTGCGATTTATTTACCCAATATAAAAATAAGGAGATGTGGTATGACAACTATCCAATAAAGTTCAAATGATGTGGAAGTAAGCAATTATAGGCAACCGTACGGCCTTCAACAATCAGAAAAACCCATACCGTAAAGTCGGCTATAAAAGGTCCCGACCAATGCCCATTCTAGCAATTAAATTATATTCTAATATGACGTGCTGCTTTCGCTTTGTAAACAACACCGTGATAAAATACTCGATATATCTATACTTAGCGCAGACTCAGAGATATACATAATAATGGATGTTACAATATACCTCCCTCGTAAATCCACATGTATTGGAACCTATTTGCAAACGCTGTGCCGATTTTATTGTTTTAAAAATTGCAATTGAAAAAAGACTACAGAACTTTTATTCTTATTCGG